CTTTGTATTAAAAAAAATGTTCTTGGGGGATGGGGGAGGCTAGGGGACTGTCTTGGGCGGGGGGAAAAAATGGACACATATGTAATATCCTTTGTAATAAATAATAAAATTTAAAAAAAAATGTTCTGTTTTCATTTAGAGCATGGTAAGTATGGAAAGGTAGGACCCAAATGGACAAAAGCTCTTTGGGGTCCTCAATGATTTTTTAGTGTAAAACTGAGACCAAGCAGTGAGAGAAGCTGCCCTGTGCTCACTGTGCTGACCCACAGGGGTCTCAGCACCCATGTGCTCGAATCAGCCCTGAGCCACCTCCCAGCTGCACTGTCAGCTCGATGGGGAGCTGGAGCTGCCACGTGAGCATGTGCGATCTCCCAGGGCACCCTGCCCTGGGCTGGGCATGCCTCGGTAGGTACCACCCCAAACTTGCTGAATGGCAAAAAATTCACCCAGGACCACCGGGATGGAACTTGCCTACGAACTGAGCCGAATCAGAGCCGGGGGATGGAGACACATTCCTGGTTCCACTGTTTGAGCCCCTGGGTCCAGCGGTGCTTGCTTCTTGGTCACGGGGGCCAGTACATCCTTTTTTTATTTTCGTAAGCCAATTTGAGTTGAGTTTCTCTTCCAGCAGAAAGGGTCCAGATGAAAACTCACAGTCATCAAAACCAAGGCCTGGAGGTGGGAAGCGCTGGGAGGACCAGGGGAGTGGTCCGGTGGAGGCAAGCCCTAGAGCCACACCCAGAGCGTGGGGGAGGCCGTGTTTTGCCTACCAGAGACCTGGCAGACCCCTTTCCAAACAACACAGCTAGACAACAGCCCAGGTTTCTTTCACTTTATCATTTATAAAGCCATACAATGGATCGCAAAGAAACAAAGCCGCCGACAGGAGCAGGCAGCCTCGGTGTACAACACATTCATGTCCAGGGTAAGTAGCATATCAGGGTTTATACAAGGCGGCCGAGGCTATAGGCACAATGATACAAAATAGAAAGTATATTTCCATCTATATAAATACACAGTCAGGGCACGGGAGGAGGGCGGGTTATTCTGGTTTTCCTGCAGAGGGAAGGCCTGGAAGGCAGGGGAGGTGGGTAGGGGGTGGGGGTGAGGAACTCCTTACATTTGTTTTGAATGACACATCAGGGGGAGGAGAGAAACAGGGAGACGCATGCAGACACTGATGTGCTCTGCACACACACACACACAAACCCAACACGGACACAGGAGAGTCTCAACTGCTTAACACTGATTAGAAACCAAACTTGGGACATTCCTCTACAACTGCCTCACTGCTGGGAAGAGCCAGGCGTGGGAAATAAGGACAGGTCCTCCAACATTTGGGTCATCTGAGGACCGCAGAGCCCACCCCATCGCCAACACTGAGATTCCACCCGTCAGGGCTCGCCTCCTGATTCCTTCCACCCGATGATACTGAACTTGACATCCTCCTATTGCCCACCTCCTCCAACCCAACCCTGAAGATCCCTAGAGAGATGCGCAAACTACGCACACACATACACCCACACTTGCACGCACGTGCACACACGTCCTGTGTTACCACTGCCAGGGGACTCTGGTCTCGAGATTCCGGGGCCTGGCCCTGAGTGAAGAGTGGCTCCAGGGCCCGGCCTCTGATCTCTCCAAGGACCCCGAGTGTGGGGAGACGCAGGGGCAGAGGCTGCCCTTGGACTTGGGCATTGGCCCCCTTGATCTCCCCAGCTTCTGAAGCTGGGAGCAAAGGGAGGAGACCCCGGGGCAGGGTGGCGGTGCACATCAGGGCATAGGTGTTGTCCCACCTGTGAGGAGTCTGCCCATCTCTGCTCATGCCCATCTGAGGGAGGAGAACACCCCACTCATCTCCCCCCTGGGAGCCCCTTCATGGAAGGGCCACACTCGTTCATCCAGCTGCCTCCTCTTCTGGTGGCACAGACACCAAGCCCATTGCCTTGTCCTGCCAGCTTCTGACACACCCAGGGACTCCCTAAAGCCCAGTGCAGGAGGGATCCTGGCCGTCCACGAGCTCAGAGCAGCCGCAGGAAAGGCTGCCATGAGGACCAGGTCAAGGCCTTTTCCAAACCCGGCACAAACACTGGCTAGACAAGGGAGCCAGAACACATGACCTCAGGGGAGGGGATGCCAGTCACCTTGGAGGCTGATCAAACAGCTCACTTCCTCCCTATTTCCCCTCTGGGGTCTGCTCTCCATTGTTCCCATTCCCGGTCCTCCCCTCTCCTTCCACCTGGGAAGAGCCACGTGGAGGCTCTGGGCCTGCCTCCCTCCCTCAGAGGCCTGGCTGGACAACAGCCAGAAGCAGGCGGGGCCTGGGGCCCGGCTGAGCTCGCCTGGGGCTGTATGGCTGAGTCACACACTGACCATGCCTCTCCCGGACCGCCCCACCCCACACCCCAGCCTACTTTCAAGACCAGACAGCACTCTCCTGGCTGACAAACGGGTTCAACAATAAACAACAGCAAATATGTCAAGGGAGGGGGAGGAGAGAAAAGGATAAACATTTACACGATAATAACAATAATTATTAAAAGTGCTTTCTTTTAAAGGACATCTTTGGCAAGAATATACTGCAGTGCTGCGGTGTGTGTATGTGTGTGTGTGTGTGTGCACTTGTGCGCATGGGTGCACGGGCCCAACCTGTGAGATGGGAGGACTACAGTGTCTTCCCAGCCAGTGTCTGACCCAAAGGGGGGACCTCTGTGGAGATTGAGGTGCCTTCCCCATTCCTCTGGAAAAGCCAAACTCTAGGAAACCAGCTCCCTCCAGAGTGACCCAGAGAGGGAGAGAATCAGCTCCCCAGCACCCCTAGGTCCTGCTTGTGGTCACCCTCAGCTCAGGCCCGGGAGGTGGGCTGCGGTGGGCGGTGGGCAAGCATGTGAGAAGGCTGACCCTGGGCCCGGGTCTGCCTGATGGTCTAACCCTCCGCTGGCCTCAGGGTGGAGAGGATGTCCAGACCAGGAGGACAGTCCCGGGCTGTCCAGTGGGAGGTTAGATATTGACAAAGGAAGGGGTGGAATCTCTCCTCTGGAAGAGAGGCGGGGGGGGGGGGGGGCGGGGGGG